GGATCCAAATTTACTCTTAGAAAGTTTTTTAGAACGTTGTGCTACATTTAGTTATAATGGGGTGTCAAATGAAGATGTTAGACTTAGACTTTTTTACTTTTCCTTATGGGATAAGGCTAAAATGTGGTTGAACTTATTAGCACATGGATCAATTAGGACTTGGGGTGACTTAGCCCAAAAATTCTTAGCTAAGTATTTCCCACCTTCAAAACTTGCTAAACTTAAAGATGATATTACTTCATTTTATCAGTTAGAAGGTGAGTCGATATATGAGGCATGGGAGAGAAGTGAAGAATTTCTTCGGAAGTGTCCACATCATGCACTGCCTGATTGGTTAATTATTCAGACTTTTTATAATGGTTTAGTAGGAACCCTTAAATCTATTATTGATGTTGCCACGGGTGATTCACTTATGTCAAAACCATTTGATGAGGCTTATTCTTTGATTGAGGAGATGGCCACAAATAATTTCCAATGGCCATCTGAATGAGTAAACCCTATGAGGGTAGCTAGTGTGCATGATATTGATGTGTTATCAATCATAACTTCTCATATAGCAATAATGTCAAGGAAGCTAGATCAATTTAAAATGAAACAACCTCAAGTATCTCCATTAATTGATGAAAATTTGTTTGGACAAATGGTTTATGCTAGTACTTCATTATTTAAGACCTTAAATGCAATAAACAATAAACATAACAACCCATATTCTAATTTTTATAACCCAGGTTGGAAGAACCACCATAACATTAACTGAAATAACAATTGTGGTGGGGGAAACCAATAATGGGGAAATAACCGGTCAAATCCTTTAGGAAATTGGAATAACCAGGGTAGTACCAATTATAGACCTTCTTATCATTCAGGATTTAACTCTAATCCACAATTTAAGGAGAGGAAGTTGTCTTGGGAGGAGGTTGTATTGCAAATGTGGAATTAACTACAAAGTCAAGTGCAGCTATAAGGAACAAAGAGAACCAGCTGATAGTCATAGGATAAAGTTTCTTTCCTCTGACCTTAGGGCTACCAAAGTCCCCATGGACTATATAATTCGTAGATTGTTGATTAGGGATCTCAGAATATGCTGGGTCGACTACCTTCATGATCATGTTTACTGGAGTTATAGTGTCTTGGGATGACGAGTCCGTGATACCTCGACTTGGCTACCTCTGCCTTCTAGGAATTACTCTTCTCTTCATTTGACTACCCCATTAATCCCTGACGCTTCTATTCCTTCATTGGTACCGTCTTTACAGCTCGATGTCAATGAGTTGCTGCCCATTTAGGATACCAAAATTTGTCCTCTGCTCTTATGGCACAGACGTGATTTAACGTATTGGGGTGTCCCCGTCAAGATGATTATGATTATTCAGTAGACTCCGTATGTTGAGAGTCGTTACCCATTTGGGATGTGAGAGACTCACTCTCTACCCGAGGGCTTAGCATGAGCTTTGAAGCATCGCGACTTTCCCACACAGAAGAACCACTCTTTTAACGACCCATTTCCCCAGGTTCACTATAATACAAGTGAAACCTCTTTTATCGAGATTTTTCTTGGGTATCCCTCAAGATGTAATTAACCAAGTGGGATACATCTCCTTAGGAATGCTCTTGAGCCCAAAACATGCATCTACACTTGGCTCGCTAGTTATAGGTAGCATATGTAAGTATTCTTTCATGGATATTGGTCGAATGTGGATTTGTCCGATCTTGTTTGGACGGATATACTTGACCTAACCTTGTGAGTTTTATCGCACGTAGGCTCTCTAGGTTTCTCTTGTCTGTCGTCTTTGTCATATGTTTAACTTTTTTGGTTCCTCTCTTCTCTAGATCATTCATATGACCTGAAAGAGAGATCTATTCAGAGAAGGGATGTATACGGCGATCGACAGGTTGACGACTCCTTCAAAAATAAAAGAGAGTAAAAACGAATATAAACAATTACATAAACTTTTGAATGCAAGTATAACCACGCAGCCAAAATTTTACCTGGATGTTCTCTATCAGCTCATCCGCTTTTTGTTTTCCTTGTGTTCTTTCATTCTTCTATATTAGCTTGCTTGAAATCACAAAGTGAAGTACATGAGTTTGCACTCTAAATCCTAAATCCTCATGTAAGACTTATTTCGGAAAAACCTGAACATCACAATAACTTACATGGCGAGAGAGAAGAACTGTGAATGTTTCTAGTCCGGCGATTGACAGTGCGAGGGATTTCGAACGAACCAAACCCTAGCTACCAAAATAAAAGTTGAAAATCGCTCTACGAAACTCTATCCGGTGGTGATAGAAGAAAATGGACATCGACGAGGCGCACGAGGTTTTGTTTTCGAAGCATTGGGATGGATCGAGCTAGGTCTCTCGCTAAAATGTATCTTTTATGTTTTTATTTTTATTTTTCAATGAGTTTGTCACATTACAAGTGACAAAATGTCATTGGATCTGTGTGGACTCCTAATGTGATATGTTTTTGGGATAATGAGATTTACTTTGTTGAGCTTAATACAATAGCTCATGAGGCTGTTTTATACTTTCTTTCGGTGTCCCTTACCTCCTAATTGGCTCGGGATGTTTGTTGTTACTATCCCTAATCATAGGATACTTATACAGTTGGCACAAAGAAGGTGACGTGGCCATTTACCATTGGATCATAAAACACAAAACAGTTCATAGGATTTTTATTCCTCTCCTCTTTCAAGGTCAGCCAGTCAGTCATATGGAGTCCCCAGTCAAAGTCTTTCCAAAGTCAATCCTCCTCTCCAACATAAGAGAGGGCCAGAAAAGAAAAAAATCCACTTTCCTATCAATTAGAGCTGATTAACAGTGGCTCGGCCAAGCCAAAATGGCGGATGGAACCCTAACTCCTCTCTCGAGCTCTTGGCCCAAGCTAATGGTTATCTTCTTCTCCCTCGCTTTTCTGGTCTCCTCCTCTGCTTCGGAGATCATCTTTGAAGACCGATTCGACGGTATATTATTAGTTTTCAGAAGAACAGCACTGTTAGCTATCTTCCCATTCTTTTATGCGTCTTGTTCTTTTTTTTCGTTTTTTAGACTTTAAATTAACTAGTGATTAATTAGCTTAATTAATTGTGTAATTGGATATCATTTAGTTATAATTGTGTCGATGATTAATTTATGATCATTCATAATTTTTATTCTATTAATTATTTTATAGTTAATACATCTAGCTCATATATATATATATATGTATATATTGTCAATTAATTAGTAATTATAATACTAATTTGACTAATCTATTTTTTTCCTAATCTTAATTAGTAACTTTTTTTCGAATATTTCTCATTAGTTTATTTAATTTGACACAAGTTGTCATTTAATGCCTCGTTAATTTTGGTAATTTACTATTTAATTGAATTAGTTTTTGTTTATCTTGGGATTTGATTCTCTCCAGATAACTTTGGACATATAGATTTTGAAGAGTAAAGTTTTTGAAAATATAATTTTTAAAAGTTCAAAAATATTTGTCTTCATGTCCTTTCATGGTGTACTTTGGCCATACAAAATCAATGGAGATAAAATTTGGACCAATTCTCCTCTAAAACTTAGTACAATCTTTATTAAATCAGCCGTGGAAACCAATCTTCATTGCATATATTGATAATGATAACTCATCAATTAACTCTTAGATGTTATATTTCTTAATCCATCTCAAAGCATAGCCCAACTAAAATCTATATCAATTCTGTTGGCGGGTTAAGATAAATGTGGAGATATTGTATTGATTAAAACACACTCAGGGTCTATTTGGCGCAGCTGCAGATTCTCAGCCTTTCAGCTGCAGCTGCGCTGCACCAGGAAGCAGCTGTGGGAAAACAGCTGTGGGGAAGTTGACTGTCTGTTTGGTGCAGCTGCGTGAAAAATGCTGTGAGCCAGTTGTTTATGTAAAAATAACCAAACTGTCCATATTTGTTAAAATTGTTTAAAGTTTTTGATTTATTTGTATAAATATGGGTTTAATATACATAAAATTTATAAAAATATTATTTCTTAGTTAATTAAATGAAATAAATTATTTTTAATATTCATTTTTATAGATAATTTTTAAAAAATATTTTGTAATTTTAAACACATATAGGTTTAAAATTTATCTTTATCCATATATCAATGTATACAAATATTAATTCATCTATACATATAAAAATTTACAAACATATTTTAGAAGCATAAAATGTAAAATATATAAAAGCACCTCAAGCCATATGAAGTCGTGCTTTCTTACATAAAGACGTAGGAACTCATACAGTTTCGTACATCCAAAATAGCCCAGAGTACATAAATGCAACTCAACCACTAGCTAGGAGAAGCAGAATGAAAAAAAAAACTGTAAAACTACGACCACGACGAGTAGCATAATGGTAATGTTATTTCTAACAATGACACGCTGTAGCTCCCGTGTCTGCCCTTCGTCATCTGAAACTCGCAAATCGCTACCAACATCTTCCTCAACATCAGAGAAATTGTCCGCCCATCGGAAAAATTTGCATTGATCGGCAATGCTTCGGGTGCATGTATAAAACTTCCTACCATAGCTATGTGCCTGCAGTGAGGTCAAAAGTGTGGTTTGCATACCACAATGACAAACTACTCGTCGGGAGGGAGCGGA